CACACACACACACACACACACACACACACACAGCCTGGCAGAAACGTGTTTCTCCTCACATCCCCCAATCTCATCCCCAGGGAGAAATCGTTGCTGCAAAAAACCTTCCCCTTGGCACTCGCCTGTCCTGCACTCTGGTAATCTTTCTGCACCTAACACACTGTTAATTTGCTGATGTTGAAAGTGAGTTTTGGAAAGCTATCCTCCTTTCCTTCACTCACGTCTTCCCAGAGGTGCTTCCACTGTCACAGTGGCCTAGAGGGAAAAATGCTGAGGGCGTGGCAAAGATTCTTTGCTTAGCTCCACTTGAGCTTGAGTCAGTCTTTTCAATCTTCTGCTCGGCCCCTCTATGCACTTCTTGGTAAGACCCAATTTTAGCAAAAAGCTCTAAGTCAATGAGCCGTAACCCACTCCTGGACATCTGATCTCCTCTATATCTGACCAGTTCCTCCTCCCGCATACTCTCCCAGTTGATGTCTGATCATCCTGGTCTGTCTTTAGCAGGAATCCTGTCAGGTAGGTTAGTCAGAACCCTGACTCCTGATGTTTCTGCTGAGTAATTTTCATCCACCCACCCCCACCTATTGCTCCTTGGTTGTAAATCCCCACCAGCTCATGCTGTGTTTAAAGTTGAGCCCAATCTCTCTCCCCCAATTATCTGACCCCACTCTGGTAGTTCCTGTACCTCTCAGTGGTAGCAGCTGCTAGGGCAGTGTCAACTTGACTGGTGTTGGGGTCTACTCAGGGGATTAGTGGATCACATACTTGGGTGTCTGAGTGGGTTGTGGAGGTATAGTCTTGGGGTCTAAGTCTGGTCCTTCATAGCTTCCTCTCTGGCACTGTTCTCCTCCTTGCTCCTGGCTGCCATGAGCCAAGCAGCTTTGCTCTGCCATGCCCTTCCAGCATGGCACTGGAGCCAGCTGACCCTGGACAGAATCTCCTGAAACCCTGAGCCAAATTAAGCCTCCTGTAAGTTGTGGGTATCTCGGCAATGCAAAAGCTGGCTAATATAATCATCTCGAACAAGGCCTTCCTTACCAGGCTGTATCAGGCATCACCGCATCATTTTTTCTTTATCAGCTGCTGACCGAGAGTGCCAGGCTGGCAGTGGTATCAGCAGTAGCAACCTCCCAGGGCCACTTTGGGATACCAGCCATCCCGATTACACCCATCCAGGGCCTGGTTACTTTACAGAGCACCTCACTCAGATCAGGCACCCACTATCTTTACTGGAAAGCTTTCTCCCTGTCTTGGCAAGGTGGTGTGTATCTGCAATCCCAGCTATTCAGGAGACCAAGGCAGGAGGATCACAAGTTTGAGACCAGCCTGGGCAACTTCAAAGCTATATCTCAAAATAGAAGGGTTTGGATATGATAGCGCACACATAGTTCATTTCCCTGTACAGGGGAGACAAAGAACAAAATAAAACACCTGTCCATGCATCCCCAATTTGAGGTGCAAGATGCCTCCAGGAGACAGGGCTGTCATCTGGATGACCCTCAACCCCTGAATTCTGCCCTGTAGTTTCTTCCCTGGTAACTGTGCCCATGCACTCCTGCTACCTGGAGGTCCCCTTCCTATTTCCCTCCATCCAGATCCTAGCCAGCTTTTAAGACAGAGAAACCTCTTCCTCCTTTCCAATTGTCCTACTCAGCCCAGAGCCACATTCCTGGCATGTGCAATGCCAGCAGCTTTGCCCTGGAGCAGTGTGCACACTCAGGGTACCTGCCTGGTGACATTTAGGTTCCAGGTCCCAGCAACAGGGATGAACAGATGCTAAGGAAATAATAATTCTAGCCAGCCCCCTCAGTTGGTCAGTGTTGTTTTAAAATTGCTACAAATGTTCCTGGCACTGCCAGCAGGCAGGAGGGGAGGTACTGTACTCACAGCTACAATCTGCCCAGCAATGGCCACGCCTGCTCCCTCAGGCTGCCCACGATGCCTGCACAGCCCCGAGGGTGCACTGCCCCAAGCTTCCTGCCTGGAGGGATGGAGAGATGACCCTGTCCTTCCCGACAATTCCCTAAACCCCAATCCCAGCCTCCAGAGTGGAGCAGCCTTCTGTCTATAGCGCTAAGGGTTGCTGGAGTCCATCACAGGCTCTCCCGCCTCTCGTCCAGCATCCTGTCCTGGCTCCCATGATCTCAGGCACCACGCTTATCCTGCCTGTTCCCAGCTCTCACATCTTCCACGGCTCCCAACTGCAACAGAGCAATTCAAAGATCTGACAGCTTCCTGTATTCCCAACCTCCCAGTCTCCTCTCTGTCCTTCCCATTCCTGAAACACACACATGTACATATTCACATGTTCAGATGCACACTCACATACACACATACACACACACAAAAATACATTTTTAGTCCATGCCTATGTATGTACATACATGCAGACCCCATGACCTAAAATAATTATTTTAGGTAGAGGTAAGATCTATTGATAGAAAAAACAAAAGATTTATTAATGAGCTTGATTTGAAGAGGGGGACAGAACTATGGAGGCCTTCAAGAATATAAGGCCTGGGCTGGCCAAATAGCTCAGTGGACTAAAGCACCTGCTTAGGCAGAGCGCAGCAGCTGGGGTTCAATCCCTGGCCTGCTGTGCGGGCCTCACTCCTGTGATGCACTGAGAAGGTAACTGAGACTGGGCGTGGTGGCACATACCTATAATCCCAGCACTTGGGAGGCTGATAACAGGAGGATCTCTATGAGTCCGGTCTATGTAGTGAGACCCTGTAGACCCTGTCCTAAATACATAAAAATAAATAAATAAATAAATAAATAAATAAATAAGAATACAAGGCCCCTACTTGGCCAGAAAAGCAAGATTCACCCCACAGCTCCCAGGGATGAGGTGCTTCTCAGCAATTATGTCTCCAATCCATGCGATTAAGCTTGGGGAAGCCCCACTCCTTTGACATGTGGATCTTCTGGTGGCCTCCTGAATGTGTGCAAGGCCTTGATCACGGGTTCCTCGTTCTGCAGCCCAGTACAGATGGACCTGACAACTCATGCAACATGAGCCCTCCCTACTGTCCCTTGGGGCTTCCAAAGGCACCTTGCTACCTACCCTGAGCGTAGACTGGGGATACATGAGTTCAGATACACAAACATCCACCAGGAAGTAGTATCCCCAAGGTCCCCTAGGCAACCCACACCAGCAAGAGGCTGTGTACACTACCAAGGAGGCTGCTGTTCACAGCCACTGCACGCTAGGCACCCATGAGCAAGGGAACTCAGTCTATTTCATCCACTGCAGAGGTAGACACCAAATTACTTGCTTTGGTTGCCATTTGCCTTGAGCTTATTTATTTTTTCAGTGCTGGTGATTGAATCCAGGGCATTTGCTACTAAGCTACCAAGCTAAATCCCCAATCCTTTTTTAAAATTTGAGATATACTCTCAATAAGTGATTAAACTGCCCAGGTTGGAGTCAAAGATGCAATCTTTCTATCCCAGCCTTCCAGAGTGCTGGGATTACAGGCATGTACCAGCATGCCTGACTATTACCTTTATTCACGCATTCGCTCACTCACCCATTCCCCCTCAGTACCAGGTCCATTTCTGCGCTGGGGCATGATTGCCCTGCCTCCCCACTGTCAGGTCCTATCCAGAGTGCCTTGCCCTTCCCTTCCAATTCTCTAGATTCTCTAAGGACTAGTTCAAGGTTTGACTCCTTGGAAAAGCCTTCTCAGCTTCTCAGGCTTCCATAGCACTTCCTGAGTTTGAGGTTCTGCAAGAGGGCCCTCTTAAAGAACTCCCTAGGGGTTTGATCCCGGGCCTGCAGTGCCGGCCCCTGGGGTGAGCCGAGACAGCGAGACAGCGAGACAGCAATTGAGACTGGGCATGGTGGTGCATGCCTGTAATCCCAGCACTTGGGAGGCTGTAAACAGGAGAATCACTATGAGTCCAATCTAGTGGTGAGACCCTGAACACCCTGTAGATCTTTCCTTAAAAAAAAATACAGAAAAAAAGAACTCACTAGAATGATAAACACCTTCTAGACCAGCATCTATGGCCCCCTAGCCATGCATGACCATTGAGCACTTTGAACGTGACTAATGAGATAAAGAAACTGAATTTTTAATTAGTAATTAATTTGAATAGCCATATGTGGTTGGAAGTTACTATTTTGGACAGTGCAGTTCTGATAACTCATCTGACCCTTGCATCCCATGGACTTGGTGGTGAGTAGACCTGGGTTGGAATCCTTAGCTGTGTGACCCTGGTCAGTTTGCTAAACTTCTCTGAGACTTCGCTTTATCGGTGATGTCACATGTGGATGACAATACATCAGATAAGGATGAAGTGAATGGACGTACTAGAAGCTCCCATCACATGTGATGCTTGCAGCTAGCACACAGGAAATAAACAGTGAACTTTAGACACCACACCCCCTCCTTACCTCAGGCAAGGAATGATTTAAGATGGGCACGGTGAGATGACGAGGCGCCCTGGGTTGGAACCTCAGGTTGTCTCCATTCACCTACTCCATTGTCAGGAATCCTCTCCTGATACTCAGCCAGCAGAAAAGCCCCAGCCAGAGGACTGACCAGCTCTTGCTCAGGGTCAGCCCAACCCAGGAGCACACTGACAAGAGGCCCCTAGGGAAGGGACAAGGGAAGAGTGTCCAGGCAGAAGAAGTGTGGAACACGTGCCTCCTCCCAGCCAGCCTCCTTGAAATCTGTCCGTCTTGACCCTGTCCTTCTCTTCCTTCACTCCAGACCAGAGTCTCCCAGGAGGACATGGACACTGACATTCTTTTCACCCTCAAAGATGGTCTGTGTACCTCACAGTGGACCCTCCCACATGCCCTGTGTGCATGCACGCGTGCACACTCGCGCACGTGCACACACACACACACACACACACACACATACACAGAGTCGCACTGTGTGCTTGAATGGCTGAAGAGTCCTGTTCAACTGAACTGCCTTTTGTGTCCCAGGTTCTTATCCTTACGTTCATACTTTATCTGTGACAGAAGGAGAGAGAAAATCCTACTCAGTTTTAAGAACTTCCCAGTCTGTTCAAAGTAAAGTGCTGGTGAGGGAGGGGGCTGCGTGAAAGTTCAGTGGTTTGGGTGCAAAAGCAGGCAGCAGTGCTGCAATCCAGGATCTGACAGCTCCCTGTCAGGGAGCCAGGCCATCCCTGCCCAGAGCGCAGGAGCTAGGACTGGGTAAATGAAGTGACCACGCGCCACGGACAGAAAACTGAGCGACTGGTGGATGGAGGGAAAAAATGCCATGCCAAGGAAGGAGGCCACGCCTGGAGGAAGCACAGCAGGTTGGGGGCGCAGACAGCCTCAAGGAGCTTTCACCTTGGAAAATGTTCTTCAGGGGATGAATCTTTGTATTTGCCCTCTAAAAGGGATTGGGCGGGGAGGCCTCCAGTTAGGGAAGCTGAGCAGGAAGCTCTGGCAACATTGCAGGTGGGGAAGGTGGGAAGCAAGGGAATGGTGGTGGTAGCAGGGATAGAGCGACAAGGACTGACAGGGGCAGCACAGAGGCAGCCTCTTTTGGCCAGGAGGCTGGACCAAGAGGAAGCCACCCCCATGGGTTCGCATCTCTCGAAAATAGGAAGGTAGATGAGAGACAGCTGATTCACTCCAGAGCCGGGAACCCAGGAAGAACAAAGGAAGGGGATGAGAGCTCCCTTTGGGACATGTTATGCCAAAAGGGCCTGTGGGATGTCCAAGGACAGATGGTCAGCAGGCAACCTCAGACGGTGACGTGGCGTTGAGTCATCCAAGCACAGGGAAGCAAAACTACCCAGGAAGCAGTGAGGTGTGAAAGACAGGAAGGCCAGGGATGACGTCGAGGAATTTCAACATGGAGAGAGACAAGCAAGAGCCACAGGCTGAGGGGCGGGGGAGATGGCTCAGTAGAATAAATGCTTGCCTGGCAAGCACAAGGGCCTGAGTTCAATCCCCGGTTCTGAAAAAAAAAAAAAAAAAGATCCACAGGGTGGAGCACAGCAAAGAAAATAAGACAGTTGGATGACAAGGAGCCTGTACACCCCACAGCTACAGAGAGAATAAAGTCTTGAGTCTGAAAGATCTGTGGAACTTACCTACGATACAATCTTTATTAAAGAATCACTGAAGCAGGTCATGGTGGCACACACCTATAATCCCAGCACTCAGGAGGCTGAGGTGGGAGGGGCACCAAGAAGTGGAGGGCAGCCCCGCTACATAGTGAGTTCAAGTCTCACCAGGACTACATAGGGAGATCCTGATTCAAAATAAGCAGATCACTGAATGAGCATATGAAAGCCTTAGGTAAGTCCCGAAGGTGCAGTTGTGAGGCCTCAAAGTATTCATTTCAAGGGACAGTAGGGTAGGTCAGAGGCTGCAGAAGGCTGTGCTGCCTGTCGCAGCCTAGGACCTGCAGTGGAACTTCTTCTCCCACCCACTCAGGGACCAGGCCACAAAGAAACATTTCAGAGGTATGAGAGAGGCCCCCCAAGTTTTATAATAGGTGCCCATGACACAAATTGCTACAGAGGAAAAAAGTCACCCCTGGGGAACTTATCTAAGAATATAACATGAGGTGGGCTATTTTGGGACTCAAATTACACAGGCAGGCTGAGGAAAATAGACGTGCGCAAGGATGAACACAGCTACAATTAATGTTAACTATAAGGTGTCATATCTCTACCAAGCACACAGCCTGCAGTGTTCAAGGCAGAGAGAGGGTGAGAAGAAGATGAATTGGAGCCAAGAATTCAGGTAGGAGGAGACAGTGTCCTCCCAGGAAGCCGAGAGAATGAAGGAGTGGGCGGGGACTTGCCCCAGAAGGTAGGGCTTCCTTAGAAGGCAGCAGTCACCTTGGCCAAGGAGGCCTCCTGAAGTTGGAAATGCAACCAGGATGGGTCCCACATAGCTCAGAGAAGTTTCAGGTCCAGAACCAGAGGGTCAGGGAGAGAAGGTGACCACATCACGGAACATTCCTGGACTCCAGCTAACCTACTTAGCTTAATCTAGGGGGCACACATCTAAAAGAAATCAGTCTCCCCCACAGGTGAGGTTTCTTTAAAAAAATCTTTATGTCATAGTGGGTGTTTCACTGTGTGTAGGGTGGAAATGGGGGTCAGGCTTCATGAACAAATATCCTAGACTTCCACTGACAGCTGGTAACCTTGAAGAGGACATCGCAGAACCTCAGTTTATTTTTCTGTAATGCCCTACAACAATCCTTTTCACAGTCTAACAAATTTGGAAGGAAGTCGGGTCATAGTGGGTCACTGTATATTAAATGTCTCTATGTCCTTCACCCACTGGATCCCTTACCACCTTGCCTTGTGAAGACTTCTGTGAGTTGTTGTGGTTGTTGTTGTTGTTGTTTTGTTTATTTGTGGGGCTGGAGATGAACCCAGGTCCTCTCACATGCTGGGCAAGCCCCCTACCACTGAGCTATACTCCAGCCCTATGTCGTATTTGACTTCCAGCCAGGGAGTCACCAGGGTAGGTAGCTAGCATGCTTACTTCTCCTTTTGTTCTGAATAGCAAGCATGTTATCTACTATACATGAACCTTTCTAACATGGGAGCTGAATAACGTGACCCTGGAATATACAGGATGCCTTAGCAAAGACCTCAGCGCATGTCATATTCATTAGATCTGAAAAGTCTTTTTCAGTGTGAACTGTTTCTAAAATATTCTATTCTGCTTCTAAGCTTCTGTCCAATCCCAACTCACGTCTTATAATGTCTATGCCCCTGGATAGTAAAAGCCAGGCTTTAAGCATGCTAGTTCAGTGTCAGCCTCAAGTTGCTTTTGCTCAGAACTGCATGTGCAGCACCCAGAAAAGGGCCTTGAACTTTGTGTAAGGCTCCACAAGGATCTGGTGAGTGAGTGAGTGAGTGAGTGAGTGAATGAATGAATGAATGAATGACTTCTAACCCTTAGCACAATACAAGGCACTCACCGAATGTTTGTTGAATGAGTAAATTAATTTTTTTTTTAAAAGGTGAACACTTTCTACTGTCCCTTTCTAACATTCTCAGTCTTGACAGAACAGCAAAGTGAATATGTAGACAGGCTTTGGAGTCAGATGGTCTCGATTTGGATTCTGGCTCTTGCACTTACTAGCTAGGTAACCTAGAGTGAGCTATTGAACCTCTGTGTTTCACTTTTCTCAGCTGTAAAATGGGGGGAATAATGTTTCAAACAGAATTACATAGTTCACTAAAAGTATACATAAAATATTTAGCCGTGACTGGCACATAATAACAGCCTCTGTATGTTCCTTTTCACTCTCTTAACCTTCAGTGGCTCCTCTGTAGCTGACAGAATAAGATCTAAAGTCAAGGTCCCATAATTTGGCTCCAATATCCCTCTCTTTCTGGCTCCATCTTCCACTACCCTTTCCTGGTGGCTACCTGTGTCAGATCTCCCACAAAGTAAGATAGTTTCCATTAACTTGTTCCCCTTCTCAAAACAAATCCTCCAAGGCAGAGCTTATTATTGCCTATGTATCACTGATGATGAGTCCAAGGCCCAGAGAGAAGTAACAACTTTCCCAGGGACACACAGCTAATACCAGGAAATCAGGCTTTTGATTTACATGGCTCTAAAATCCTCACCATGCTGTGTGAGTCAGCACTACCAGCATACCTGGGGGGTTGTCAAAAATGCAGGCCATCAGGCCTCTTCCCACTGAATTAGAATCTGAAGTTTAACCAGACTCACTCTAGGAAGATGACTGTTATGTTCAGTAAAGTTTTAGAAACACTACTCTACACCACTTTCTGCCGTTGGACAGGATTGCAAGTGAAATCAGATATGTGATCCTATTTAAACCCCAACAATCTGGAAAGTCAGCACCTGTGATCCATTTTATAGAAGCAGCAGTAAGGCTCTAAAAGGTAGTTCTCTAACCTGAACCACGTGCACCGCATAGCAGCATGATGTGCTAACTTTTAGCATGTCTTAAATCCCTCTCTTGGGGCTGGGGAGATAGCTCAGCAGAATAAACACTTGAGGGCCTGAGTTCAATCCCTAGTTCCGCAAAAAATCCTTCTCGTGCTTAAATTCTTCTCATCATTTCAGGCTCCATTCAAAATCTCTTTCTAATAGGCCAAGTTCTTCTTATCCATATCCCACTGGGCAGATTAATTGCTTTTGCCTTCAGTCCTCAGCTCCCTACCCATAGCATTCTCTCAGCCCGACTTCATTCCTTAAGTAAGATGTACTGAGCGTGAACCATGTGCCTGCCGCACACCAGGCACTGCGTAAATGTCTGGTGAGCCACTTGGCGCCCAAGCACTTGAGTGCATTTATTAAAACACTTTTATCACGCTTGGGCCATGACACTGCTTGTGTTAACTTTGTCCCTCCTTTCCACTCTCCTGAGCTCCTCTGTGTCCCTGGAATACAGGATCTGGCCTTTGTAGAGACCGAAGTCTTCACGAAACAAACTCTATGCTCTCTAATATAAAGATGGAATTTATCTGTAATATTTAAGAGCGGATTTTTACCAGGACGGTAGCCTTCCACTGCCGGGGGCGGCAAAGGAGAGACCACCTTGTGTGTGTCAGGCACCTTGCTACTCAAATCCTGTCTTTGGGCCAAGCCAGGATGCCTAGAACCAGCGTTATGAAATGTACAGATGATTGAAAATCTCCCTCATTTTTTACCAGGCCATCAGTGGAAGGCATCGAAATGCTAAGTGACACCCCCCTTGGGCAGAATCCCCAGGGTTAAAATCACCACATCCCCCATAACCTAAACAAGAAAAGCAGAGAGGGCCTCCCAGACACCCAGAGCCTAGCAGCCCCCATGTTCTGCCTCTGCTTTTACAAGGAACCCAGGGAGAGCACTTGTTTCTAGGCCTCAATTTCCTCGTTTATAAAACGAGGGGTTGGACTAGTTTCTAAAGCTCCTTCCAGCTCTGAGATGCTGTACTACAAAATGAGAGAAATGTGAACCTTTGGTTGCTATGATCTGAAAATATTTTGAATGTGGAGAATCAAATTGTACAGCAGCGCACGAACAAAATAATATGTTAATGACTAAGAAGATTGTACTTAATCCAATGGGAAACTGCAGAGCTGCCGGTGGGGTGCGTGCGTGCGTGTGTGTGTGTGTGTGTGTGTGTGTGTCTGCAAGGCTTTCTTCCTTGAGCTCAAATATATATTTTGAATCACTAATATAGTAATCAGGCCTGTAGCAGCCTATCTTGCCCAAACACACACACACACACACACACACACACACACACTTCAAATCAAAATTGGAGTAAATTTCCACTGCTGCTGCTTACATCTTTTCTGTTTGGATGACTTTTTTTTTTTAAAGAAATTTTTGTAGTGAAGGTGTTGGACTGACAGACCCTGGAGGCCTCTAATCTAAGAACTGGGACACGGGGGCGTGAAACACGGGATTCATTAGCATTTTGTTTTCCCATACCAAAATCCAGTCCAGCAGGAGACCACAAGATTTGGGGTCAGATTGGGCGACCCCAGAGGCCAGAACACTGGTTGCTACAGTACCTGCACAGAAAACGAAAGGGCACAAGGGACGCCTGCGGGAAGAGTTAGGTGGACAACCTCCCACGGCCAAAGGTCCTGGTAAGCAGGTAGAAGTGGCCCCGGGATTACACGTGGGTCTAACCTGGGCCTCGCTCCAACTTCCTTTCCACGCTGGGCCTCTCGACCCGGGCTGGCCGCCGCCAAGCACAGACCGGACTGCACCCTAAGAAAGCCCCGCCGTGGCAGAGCCGGCTAGGGCTGCAGATGCCACGACCCCGCCCCGCCCGACGGCCCTCCCGCCCCGCCCCATCCGACGGCCGCGCCCACGCTGCAGCCCGCGCCGATTGGCCGGCTGGAGGCCGCGGGGCGGGGCTGAGGCCGACCTCTCAACCAGGTGAGGCGCCCCGCCCCTCGGCGACTCCAGGTGCGGCCTTGGGCCGTCAGTGCGGGGCAGGGGCCAGGCCGGCAACCAGGGCCGACGGCCGCGACACTATGGCCGAGTCCCAGCTGAGCTGCCTGGACGAGTTGCACGTGAACGAGAAGGTGACGGAGGCGCAGGCCGCCTTCTATTACTGCGAGCGGAGACGGGCCGCGCTGGAGGCTCTGCTGCGCCAGGGCGAGCCGGCCTATCACGAGCGGGTCCAGAAAGAGCGGCTGCGGAACTTCCTCTCCAGCCAGGAGCGCCAGGCCCTCCGTGCCGCCTGGAGCCCCTACGAGGACGCCTCCAGTGCCACGCGGGGCAAGAGCAAAGCCAAGTCCAAGGGCCCCGCGCCCGCCCGGGCCCAGCCTGCAGAGTCGCTGGCCTACTGGCCAGACCGCTCCGACACCGAGGTGCCCCCGCTGGACCTAGGCTGGACGGACAATGGCTTCTTCCGCGGTGTGAGCCGCGTCACCCTCTACACCCATCCCCCCAAGGAAGAGAAGGCACCACACCTCAAGCAGGTGGTCAGGCAGATGATCCAACAGGCCCAGAAGGTAGGCTTGGCCCTGCGCCCCACATCGGTGGAACCCTACCCCCAGCCTCTTGGACAGCGGGGGCGGGGGTGCGCCTAATAATACAAGCCACCCTAGCCACTGTCTGGAAAATGGTCTCCGACATGCCATAACCTCGTGGGCCTGTAGTGAGCCCTCTAGAAAGGATGGATGTGAACGTGTTTGGCAAATCGCAAAGAGCTGCACTGTAGTCTTTGTTATTACAGTGTCCAGAGGCACTGGATTTATGTGCTCTGTGCTTCTACGTGCTTCTCTTCCCGAGGCCCCATAGCAAAATGGGTCATTTGCAGGTCTTTTGGTCATAACCTATGCACTCCGCAGAGATTTGCAAAATATATCCTTAGCCATTGTTTCATTCAATCTCCAAAACAACTGGCCAGGGTGACTTCCCCATCCCTGCTCCCACCCAGCTGTGCTCTTGGGCAGCCCACACACAAAGCTGACCTGGGACCCTCACATACACTCCCCTCCTGGGCCCAGCACTGGTGCTGAGGCAGCCAGGAATGAATGGGAGAAGCTATTTTGAGTACCCGCTATGGTCTGGCACGGTTCTGGGCATTCTGGCACGGCAGGTTCTGGACTCTGCAGCTCAGGAAAAAGCTCCTGCTTAGCCCATCTGCTCGACTTGTTGAAAGGGGGTGGGAGGCTACTTGATAGTGGATTGGGGGAGACTTCGTAATCTTTTATTGTGCTCTGACTTGGGTAATGTTTGACAAAATGTAGGACATTCCATTAAATTTGAACTTTAGATAAATAACCAGAAAGGTTTATTTTTTTTGGGGGGGGGATTTGTTTATCTCAAATATTGTGTGGGACATACTGGAACTGAAATTATTCATCACTTACTAAAATTCAATTTTAATTGGATAGCCTACTTTTTATTTACTAAATCTAGCTCCCCTCCACTGAGATTTGTTAAGCAGAAAACACGGGCAGCCTTTGGTGCCCCGTTCATAGTGTGCAGCAGGAGAGACTTGGGGTCACCGTTGTAACCCAGCTCAGACCATGTGACACAGAGGCCCCATATACTTGGAGGCCAAAGAGCCCTAAAGAGGAACCAGGAAGCTGGGAAAACCATTGGTGGAGCCCTTCTTCCTGGAAGGGGTAATCTAGACGACCTAGGAGGAAGGGTTAATTTTTCACTGTGGGTATTTCCACCTTCCTGCTCTAAGTAATTGTTCCCTGCCTGACTGAACTTCTTTGTATATTGCATTCTGCAGAAGAAAGAGGCACGATTGAATGCAGAGCAGGGGAAAAGAACGTGGGTGGCAATGCTGGGCAGCAAGTTGCAGCCCAGGTCAGGGGTCAGGTCTCGTGATGTAATCCTAACAGAGGCTCAACTTATTTAGCACTTATTACGTGCTGCTCGTGGTGCTAATGATTTAACCTACAGTTTGCCTTACTTTTCACAACCGTTGGGAGAAATATTTTTTTCTTTTTTCTTAGAGAAAAAGCAGGATTGAGGAGAGTTAAGTTACTTGTCTAAGGTTCCGTAGCTAGTGAGTGGCTGAGCCGGGATGCAAACACCAAAGCTTTTCCTCTTTGACATTGCACTACCCTGCCCCACTGTCTAAAGTAATGGTGCAGTGGAGTTTGAATGGAGCCAGTCTAGTCACAATCTAGGTCACAGGTTGTAGATCTTGTTGTATGAAGGGAGAGACAAGGCCCCTGGCCTCTGGGACTTCTAGTTCCATGTAGGATGATAGGATTCTCCTGCTTAGTGGGGTTTTCTTGACTCTTTAAATATTTAGCAACAGAAACGTTAATAGTTGTGAATCAATCCCACAAGGACAGATTTTAAGCAGTAGTTATTTCCAGTAGTGCATGCCAGGCACTACTCATAAAGAAGATCCAAGTTGGGGCTCAAATGCTGGGGCTCTGCTGGAGGAAAGGGGGGGCGGGTCTGAGGCTGGATGTGCATACTGGGAAGTCCCCCTGAGGGAGGTGAGTTGCAGAGAGGGGAGAGAGAATTAAACTAGCTGGAAGCAGGAGCTTTTGACCCTGTCTATACTCACCCAACTGCCAGGCCTTCTGGACCCCCTCCCCTTAATCACAGTTCCTAAGCACCTGCCTGGCAAGCGCAAAGTCCTGAGTTAGATCTCAGTACCCCCTCAGAAAAAATCACTGGCCCTTATGTCTGTATAGCACACATCACAGGTGAGGAAACTGAGGTACAGAGAAGGAAATGGGCTTGCCCAAAGGTCATGTAGCCATATATAGAAAGACTAAGGTCTCTAACCTGAGTTCTAAAGGCTGCACCTCCAGACTAGGTCTGATCTCTTAACTCTACCCCACTCTTTTCAGCTTGCAAACAACTTTCAGTTGCTTTCTCCTTCCTGTGTACCCTGAGGGAGGCAGTTTCTTTTGTTTCCTGGGTAAATCTGCCTGGAGGCTGGGTGGGGCAGACTTGTGAGAGAGAGTCTTTGGCTTCCTGGGTGAGTCTGACTGCCTGGAGGCTGGGTGGGACAGAGGGGAGGCAGAAGAACTTGGACAGGTCTAACCATGTGATTTAGTTTTTTTCACTTGATCCTTAAAATAATTTTCTAAGATGCGTAATTTTTTTTGGTGCAGTAATTTTTGTTCCCAAACAATAAACAGGAAATTAAGGTCCAGAGGAAGTTGCCATGACTAAGGGATGCTGAAAATAATGGGACTCCCCAAGAAGGGCAGGTATGGAAATAGGCCTGTGGTCTGACCTAGCTGCTTTTGGGGCCTCTGCAAAAGTCAGAGTCCTGTTCCCAAGCTGTGCAAGATAACCAGCCTTCTGAGACTCAGCTGTGTTTACATGTAGAGGGAGGTTCCCCCTCCCCTTGGGAGATCTGTGTATTTTAGGGTCAACAAATGACGTCCTTTGTCTGCTTAAACTATAGGTAGAAAGGGTGCCTTTTGGGGCTCAGAAATGAGCCTTTCTGCCGATGGCACGCTAGCAAAAAAAAGACCAGGGCAAGTCACCAACACTTGGGCAGCTCAGATCATTGCTTTATAGCAAGACCATGTGTACACAGGAAAACCCTTGGTTCTTTGCAAAGCCAGAGCAAGAGGAACAAACACCACCAATCCTCACAGGCTGACAACTTGCATCTGTTTGGTCACTGGGCAAAATTTGGCAAGCATACATTAATAGAAAAAAAAAGACGAAGCATGCCTCTGCTCTTGAGTAGCCTAATAGACTGCTAATGTGGCGTTGCAGATTAGTATGACAAATTCTTAACATGGAGAGTGGCAGGAGGGGCACTAGCCTTACCTGGAAGGCTCTTGATGTGAGGGCCTTGATGTTTGCAGACATGTCTAAACAAAACAGGGAAGATGAGGTGGCACCAAACCATCTGCTTCTCCTTATGCCCAGCCTCTCCTGTGACCAGGGGCACCTATTTTTAAGGCTGAAGGCTAATAAGTGGGTATTGCAGAAAACTTCTTCGCTCTCACCTCAAAGATTGTTCCCTGGCCTCGCATTCCTGGGTCCAAACCCAAATACACCAGGTAACCAGCTAGCTCTTGTTTCCTTAGTGCTTCAGTAACTGTGAGGCAGATGTGGTCTTCATTTTGCAGTGAAGCCCTCTGAGTCTGAAAGGATAGAGTGACATCTTTAGACCAAAGACAAGGAGATCACACAAGCTCCTCCGGTCCTCTGTCAGCATTACCAGGGACCCTGTGAAGATGACAGGCATAGCCGGGAGAGGGAGGCTGCTGTCATTGGTAGCTGTCATTGGCTACGCACCGCTCCTTTCCATCCTGTCTAGTAGGTAGTGGAACAGGCCTGCCTGGTTACTGGAGAAAGGGGAGGGGCAAAGAACCAGGCTGGTTCTGTCCTTATCCCTTGCTGCCTGTTGATAACTTTGTCCTTTCTCTTGCAATCCTTGACTGAGTGACCACCTCTTCCTGGGCATCTTATGAAATTTCAGATCCAAAAGTTCCACACAGCTTGCTTTAACAGAACCCATCTTATTCTACTAGGCTGTGAGCTTTGGCAGGGCAGAAACCTTCCTCTTGGTCACCTTTGCAGGGGCTGTGCAGATGCCATCCTCCATTGCTGGTGGTCAAGAACCCCTTTAAAGAACTGAGAACTCTTTCCCAGTCCATCCAGGGAAGAAGTGTCTGGAGCCTTCCCTGCTGAATTGCCCATTACCCCAGGGAACTTCTTTAGTACTAAGGCTAGCTGGCAGCAGAAAGAAGGATGCTCTGAATTGCCGGGATAGGATGGAGGGAAGTGGAAGGACAGGGACACAGGGGCTAGGAGAAGGCTCCAGAGAAGGTAGAGTGAGGTCAGTGCAGCTGATGGGAGGGAGCAGTGAACTGCTGGGATTCAAGTACTCCGGGGTTGCCATAAAGTCTTAGAGTCACCAGTTTATGTCACCAGGAAACACAGCTTTGCAGATGGCATCCTTTGTCTGGAGTAGAGCCCACAGTCTTCCTAGGAGCTTTAATTGATATTTTCCTCATTTAACTACATCCAGCAAATAGTACCAAGCACCATCCCTATAGCAGGTACTGTGCTGGGGATTCACATAAAGTGATAGAGCAGATGCCTTCCAAAAAAGCTCTCTCTCTCTCTCTCTCTCTCTCTCTATATATATATATATATATATATATATATATATATTTAAATTGTACAGGTTTATGAAATCTGAGAGTCAGATGATATGCCTTCTGGCTCCTCATCACCATTTTTGAGAGCTGGTCCCACCTCTTTCTCCTGATGTCTCATACCTCCCCCTGTCCTATTCCCTTCCCCTTTCATCTCAGAGGGACAGCTGACTTTAGGAGCTTTGGAGCTGCCTCTTAGAAGCAGATTTAAGCACATAAATCAAAAGGAGTCCTCCTAGGGCAGCCCATGGTCCTGCAGTCCCTACGCACTATCCCTTCTCCTAACTTTTGCGTCCTTTCACAGGTGACCATTTCCACATAGGCTTTGCTCAGAGGTCCCTGGCAATGCCAGTGTCCTTGTCCTATTGTGGCTAGTGGATAATGCCCCAGCTCTAGGA